TGTTCCACTGTTATTTTTCCTTCAAGTTTGCTGCTTGCATCTTTATTTTACCCACTTCCTGTTTATCAGATCTTTGGATTTATTGTTAATGATTTTGTGTTATTTTGTGCTTGTATATATGCCCTAGTCATGATTGAAAAGATTAATTGTGCAAATCTCGGAATAAACCGTGCTGCGGATTCAATGTTTACTTGGATAAACATTTTATTTACATTTCATGGAAATTACCGTTTGATTCCACTTGAATTTCGATATTTTTTCCTTGGAAATTTAGCCCATAAAAATCGAATTTTTAGTAGATTTTGATGGAGTAGATTGAATATGTGGTTGAAAAGTTGTGGGCGACGCGAAATATGTGGTTAAAATTAATTGTTGATTTGGATTTAGATTTTAATATAAGTTTTAAGCTAAATCGAATATGGGCTATTTTCGATTTGGCTTTCAGTGGAACAATTTTACTTTCTCATGGCTTCCAACTTCCAAGTTGTGGATTTCTTAACCCCGGAATTTTCTTTTATTGATTCTATAAAATATTTATTGCCTTCGCGCCTTTATGGTGCGTCAAAAATTAACCTGTCTTATCTTGATAAAGCACGTGCCTCAAGCAACGGACGGACGAGCACTCGAGCTCATAAGTCGTAGATGTTCGAGCTCATGCCTCATCAAGATATGAATGAGCTCGGACCATTGTGAGGTGGACCTCATGACCAAAGTTCCTAGTCATACATAACAGTTTGATTATAGATGCCTGGATGTTCAGCTCGACCCACATAGCTTTGCTTCCTTCTTAGGAAATGCGCAAAATTGTACCTTGACAAATGTTCAATTCAATCAATAAGAACTTGAAGTCATTGCTATTGAGCTGAGGCAATGATGGACCTTATTATTTTCCACAAAATACAAGACAGAGACGTTTTAGAAAGCATTTTTCAACCAACCACCTTATGTTTCTATATCATAATAATTATTTAAAATTAGTTTTTTTCTTTTTTCAACTTTAGTACAAACTCTTTAGCCTGATAATTTGTCAACCCTTGCATGTCATGCCCCAAGCCGACCAAAGATTATTGTAATGTTGCACAACTTAGGTCGTGTTTGATGTTTACTATTTTCCATGGAATTTAAGTTCCAACTTATTTCTTGTTTGATAGTCAAATTTTTCTTGGCAATTGGTTTTCCCCCCAACCCCCCACGTGACCCCTTTTTCCAAGTTTTCATTGAATTGGTTTTCCCACCACTTTGGTGAGAAAATGATTTTCCACCTTTTTTTTTCAATGGAAATAAATTCTATCCCCAATTGTAAATTTTTTTTCCTCTAATGGACAATTTTCATGGAAAATAAAGTCCTACGAACACCAAAAGATCCAAAATTTCAACATTTTCAGGTGAAAAATTATATCAATCAAATAAAATTAATTGACAATTCCCGAAAAAACAAGTTCTAGACAATTATTTTTCGAAAATTCGTTTCTTTCCACCTATTTTTCATTCTTACAATCAAACGAACCCTTATATTTACATCCATAGTATTTTGGGTTACATCAAAAAATAGACTATTTCCATCAAAATGGATCTTAGATCCAAAGATTAATTTATTTTAAGGTTCACAACTACTTTTATTATATTTGTTCACACATTTTTGGGACACATAACTTTTAATCACTAAAATACTTCCAAACAAGTCATTAATTTTAAAACTTATATACTTGTAAATTTTCAAGATTAGTCAAACATGCCGACTCACTAATCTTGCTGTAACTTTAACTCAAAGTAATATTGGAAGAAGAAACCTGTGTGTCTAGAAAGAAAAAGAAAAAGAAAAAAAATGTCTGTTTCTTTGTCCCTTTTCTACGGAATCTGTTCTCTCTCTCTACAAAGCACATGAGAGAGAGTGAAGAAAAAATGTCACAATAGGTTCACACTCTTCTCACGCTCTCAGTACTTCAATCCCAAGAAAACCCACAAAACAGCCCATGAATATATTCAGCGCTCTTTGCACACACATATGTAAAGAGAGAAAGAGATAGAGAGAGAATTGGAAAATGGGAATCATTTATGAAGATGCAGTATTGATTAAAGAAGCAGGGACAGAAGGCGAGCACACAGTAATTACAGTGAATTGTCCAGATAAGACTGGTCTTGGCTGTGATCTCTGTAGGGTTATTTTACTCTTCGGGCTTAGCATTACCAGAGGAGGTAATCAATAATTTGACTACCTTTTTATTTATTTATTTATCTAATTTGTCCTTTTGGTGTTTTTAATTTTGACATTTTCTATGTTTTTTCCTACTAATTTCTGTTGTCAGATTTATGTATGCAGGACTTATTTTGGATGATATATGATGGATTTTTTGTGATTTTTTGCTTAATTTTAATGCAATTGTCTTGAATTTGATTAGTTTTTAAGATTAGATTAAGTTAACGAATTATTGTCAAGTTTTGTTATTTTTAAATTTTTTTCTTCGAGTGCAAATTGATTATTTTTGTCTTGGTGTTTTAGTAAAGTTGTCCCTGCTGACAAAAAATAAAAATAAAAAAATCATTATATACTTTTACAGCCTTTTCTAAGTATAACAATGGACGGGATTGGACGTATTGAAGGGATTAGACAATGCTTTGAACTTAAACTTACCATTTATTCAATTTATTTTTCTCGTGCCCTGTCCGATATTGTGCGTCAAACATGTTCAAAGTTAAAACTGCGGTGAATCTGGTAATTCAATGAATAATTTTGAAGATGATACTGCTTCTTGAAATTTTTTATACTTTTTCAGATATGCATCTTTGGGATTTGAAGCTCAGTCCATATCATGAGATCTGTCATTCTGATTATCAATATTTATGCAGTTTCTGTTTCATGGATTAAGGATTTTAAGAAATTTAACTGTACACTCTTTTATCTTTTGATGGAACAGATGTTTCTACAGATGGTAAATGGTGTTACTTGGTTTTTTGGGTAGTTGCTAAGCCAACAACAAGGTGGAACTTGTTAAAGAAGAGACTTCTTGAGGTGTGTCCAACATGTACCCCAGCAGCATCTGGAATTTACTACTATATGCCGGAATTTCAGCAGCGAAGGCCACCTGACATTTTCCTACTTAAATTTTGGTGTTCCCATGATCGGATAGGCCTTTTACATGGTAAACTTACTTTTTGATGGAACATAAAACTTGAGCATTTATAAAGGCTTTGGTATGCCCTTGGGAATTTGAAAATAGTTATTTTACGCTTATTGAGAAATTTTCAATGCCACCCAATGGTTTGATCCAAAATTTTGGCATAGAGACTGTCGTATTGGTCAAAGGATGAAAGGATCATGGAGAACAGATATTATTGTACATTAAGATTGGTTACGGCTAATTGGCTGTCATATTATATGACTTACTTTCCTTTATTCATTTTCCTTCTTGTTTGATTTAGTTTTTCATGACTTCAATTCTTAATCCTTACACAGATATCACAGAGGTTCTTTGTGAACTGGAGCTTACAATAAAGCGAGTGAAAGTATATACAGCTCCAGATGGAAAATTGATGGATCTCTTCTTTGTCACTGACATTAGGTTTGTTGCTTTACAATTTATCTGTGAAGTTGACTCTTTATTCTTATAATTTTGTTACAGAAAGAAATATAAAATAAGTTTATCTGAGTATCATCAAAATTCATTTTTTACATTAGGCATTTCTAAATTTTTTAGTCTGCTTTTAATGAATGAGTGACACTGATATTCAATGTGCATACATTCTCATTTCTGGGTCGGGAACTATCTTTTGGTACAATTGAATACCTGCTCATTAGACTTCTTTTTCCTTCAAGGGATGTATTCTATTAGTTGATTAAACTACAGATTCTGGGATTTTTTTTTACTGTAAAAAAGTCAGAACCATATAGAAAGGAAAAAGAGACGTTCTCCATGGTATATCCTACTCGGCCGTGGTTAATAACTCTTTTAACTTATATTTATTTCCATTGCTGCTAAATTTCTTGGTTGAACCCCTGCACGTAGTTCGCTACTGTGACATTCTGTCTTGATTTTGCTTAAGATATTTTACAATTATTAATATTAGAGTGTAGGACCATCTTAATGGCTATATGGCATCATCAAATTGGCTGCCAAGGCTGATATCATTATCATATCAGTTTGTCATTGAGTGGGGAACCTGCAGGCCAGTTTTTCCACCAACTCTTACCTTGCATTTAAGGTACTGATAATAATATAATGATGTGATTAAGGCTTAAAAACAAAAAAGTCAATAAAAACCTTCTAATTCATAATTTGGGTGGATGAACCAGAATCATGGGCAAGAGGAAAATCTAAAAACTACCGTAAGAAAAATCCTAATGTAAGAGGAAAATCTAAAAATTTACTAAAAGCACAACTACTGAAGACAAATCCTAATTTTCATTTGTCGGCTGCATCAAGATGCCAGCTGCAGCAGTAACGAAAACATGGAAATGGTAACCTGAGAAGCCGAATTAATCAGTCAAAATTTGTTAAGATCTTTTCATTCTTGTCAACAGTGTGTCGGGAGTTTTAATTCAGGTTGAGAATGGGTGAAAAGTCCTGATTCAAGACTCTTTGACTGGGATGAAAGAAATATGTTGGAGACAACATTGAAACCTTTTAATATTCTGATCTTTCTTTCAACTTAAGACATCTTCTTTGGATTTGATTTGATTTTTTATTTTTTAGATAATGGGACATTTATCTTTCATTATGAACGGTCGAGATAAATGGAATCCAGCATTGAACTCAACATTTTTCTTCCTCGTTTGGGTACTTGTGTGAATTTTTTCTTTCAAATCAATGTTCTATCTCCTAACGCAGGGACCTTCTTCACACAACTAAAAGGCGGGAGGAAACAATTAAACGTCTAAAGCTTGTATTAGGGAATGCCATGATTAGTTGTGAGATAGAATTGGCGGATCCTGAAGTTGCTGCACGCTTACAGTCATTTCTTCCATCTTCAATTTCAGAAGACACTTTCAGAGTAGAACTGCTGGGGCAACACTCGAATGAAGTTCTTGCCGATGAGTCTGCTTCTGTTGTCATGGACAATTCCCTCAGCCCTTCCCATACGCTCGTTCAAATCTTCTGTCAAGATCACAAAGGCCTTATTTATGATATCATGAGAACACTGAAAGACTACAACATCCAGGTCTGTCTTTTAACTTCTGATCTTGTAATAATGTCTTATTATACCTCATCAATCAAATAGATGAATCTTTAGAAAGAAATTTTCAATTAACAAGTTATCCCCCTGTCACTTGAAACGAGAACTAGATTGTATAATAAAGATTCTGCAAAAGAATACTTATTCCAAGTGTATGATCCTTTCTTGGACAAACCATATTGGAAAACTCATTGCCCATGGAAGAGGTGAATTAAATAGAAAATTCTCTTTAGTCCTCTGTTAGTACTAGTTCTTAAAAATAAGATATGAATGAACTTCTATGTTGTGATCTTACAGGTTCAATTGTCTTGATTGTGGAATATC